CCCACAGCCCCACCCTCCAGTGAGCATGGCCCCTCCCAAACCCCCATATCCTGTCAGCACAGCCCGACATGGCCCTTCCCACACCCCCACCCTCCTGCCAGCCCAGCCCAGGGTGACCCCTGCCAAACCCCCATGTCCTGCTGGTGCGACCTGGCCTGGCTGCAGCCAAACCCTCCGACCCGGATGACAGCCCAGGGCGGCTGCAGCAACCCCAGAGGAGGCCACGAGGCTCCCCTCCCCGCCGCATTCACCTGGGAGGAACTTCAGGGACTGCAGCATGCGGCGCTCCTGGGCGAAATCCACCATCAGGTGGCTCATGTTGTCGCTCACCTTGGCCTTGAGCGAGAGCCGGAACGCAGGGGCCATTGTCACGCTGTGGAGAGTCAGAAGGGCCCTTTCCCAGAGTGCACCCACACCCATGAGCCCCGCCCGCCCAATTCCCTGCAGACCAGGGTGTACGGGGAAGCTCCCGGCACACACAGAGACCATCCACGATCTGTGTTCCTTCTAAGCCAGGGCCAAGTTGCCCCATGTCTCCCCTGCAGCCTACCCTCCACCAGGAGTGCTGGGCTGGCCGTCAGTCTCCCGTGACCTGATGTCTCCTCTCCAGCTTGTGGGGCCCATCCTTGGAGCTCAGGGTAACAGGGAGAGGATGGTGCTAATCTACACTATGTTAGTAAGACAGATCAGCACGCGGTGAGGAGCGGGTGGGGACATGGGGCAGGGTGAGAGATAGGGTGGCGGGTACTGTACCTATCCTTGATCTGCTTGGCAGCCTTCGAAGCAGAGAAACAGAGAGAGAGAGAAGGGGGGGGGGGACAAAAAAGAGGAAGAGAGGGTCAGACAGGGCAGCCAGATGCGTTAGAAATAATATTCACCAAACTCTGCGCTGCAGTAGCACTCCCTAGCCCAAGTTCTCAGAGCCCTTCAGGGACACAAAACCACTAAATCACAAAGTTGTGAGGCCAGCATTTTTAAATGGGGAAACTGAGGCATAAAGCAGGAAGCGGCATTCCCCACGTAGGTGAGTCAGCGGCAGAGACAGGAACAGAGCCCAGGAGTTCAGACCCACAGCTATCCTCATCTAGCCACTAGACAACATGTCCATCCCAGAGCCAGGACTAGACGCTAGGTCCTGTCTACCTACTAGGTAATACTATCCCAGACCAGGACTAGAAACCCAGAATCCTGATTCTTGGTCCCCGTCTATCCACTTGGTAACACCTTCAGGCTGTGTCTAGACTGGCAAGTTTTTCCGCAAAATCATTTGATTTTGCGGAAAAACTTGCCAGCTGTCTAGACTGGCCGCTTGAATTTCCGGAAAAGCACTGGTGATCTCCTGTAAAATCATCAGTGCTTTTCCGGAAATACTATGCTGCTCCTGTTCAGGCAAAAGTCTTTTTCTGAAAGACTTTTGCGCAAAGGGGCCAATGTAGACAGCACAGTACTGTTTTCCGCAAAAAAGCCCCGATTGCGAAAATGGCGATCGGGGCTTTTTTGCGGAAAACCGCGTCTAGATTGGCCACGGACGCTTTTCCACAAAAAGTGCTTTTGCGGAAAAGCATCCTGCCAATCTAGACGTGCTTTTCCGAAAATGCTTTTAACGGAAAACTTTTCCGTTAAAAGCATTTCCGGAAAATCATGCCAGTGTAGACATAGCCTCAAAGTCTCCCTGAAATCAGCAAGTCTCTCTCTGTTTTAGGCTACATCCCAGGATTCCCGTTCAGCCTGTTTCTCTGCAGAGACTGGCCGAAGTTACCTTCACCAGAGCTGCAGATCCCTTCTCACCCTGGAGAGGTGATCTCAGTCTACATCATCATAAAATCCAATGCAGCGTTAACTTGCGGACCTCACTGCCGCTGGAGATTACAGAGGCAAAGAGCTTAGTAAAATTCAAGAAAGGAGCAGGAATTCCCAGGAATAAGCACAGCCCCCACAGTTACAAGGTGTAGCAATCTTCATGCTTCTGGGTTGCAGGGAAGTGGGGGTCAGAAAGGGTCTGGCTCCCCAGGATGTGACATTGCAGAATCCAGAGTATTATGGGGTGGGAAGGATGAGGGGTTAGTTTTCATCTCAGGCATCCATTGGTGGGGCCTCACTGGTGGGTTATTGGTATAGGTTCCAGTGGGCAATGCTCATATTAGGGAAAAACAGAGCCAGAGGCCATCACCCCAGGAGGACCATGGGGGGCAGATCTAGGGTGGTGGTGGCCCTGACCCTGATCTCTCCTCTGCTGCAGTGTGTGGCTTGGATTTAATAACTCTCTGTGCTGGGCCCTCCCCCTGCTCAGCTGCACCCCCCCTCTAGCTTTCCCATAGCCTGGGCCTCGGTGGCTGAACCCAGCTGGGCTGTTGGTACATTCTGCACCAGGCCGAGCTCCAGGCCCACTGCAGAGAGCCCAGCACAGCCCCTGGAGAACCTACACCCGCAGCTCAAAGGCATTCAACTGGGGCAGGGGCCAAGGAGGAGCGGGGTGCGGCATGGGGGTGTCAGACGCTGGATCACAGATGCTAGAAATTGGATGCCCCCTTGGCACCTGCCTTCTCCCTTCCACAGTGATCAGCCCCCCCCAACGCCCGCAGGGGTCATCCCACAAAGTGCACCACAGGGGTTCATGTGCCCTCCCCCGGCTCGCCCTCTGCCCACCATGGGCTGCCTTGGGGCGCACCTGGTGGAAGTCGTGGTTCTCGGCTCCTTCCAGCGTCTGGTTGGCCGTCTCCAGCAGCTCCTCGGAGCTCTCCAGTGCCTTGGTGCAGGCGGCCAGCTGGTTCTGCAGCAGAACACAGTGTGGTGCAGTGGGGCAGGGGGCAGTCAGGGGCCTGGCTGGAG